TCTGAAAGAATTCTGAAGGACTCACCACACTAATCTCTACACCTGCTCACTGTGAAGTTTTCCTTCAGGCAAATGTTCATTGCTAACATTGCCAGTCACCTGAGAGTACATACTGGTGTAATACTGAGAAAGGAAGGAGAACAATAATCTTCCTGGTGTAAGATGCTTACTGTTATGGAAAAATGCTCTTCTAAGAGTTGCTACACCAACAAATGAAGAGCCAGCAGGTTTGAGTTTGTGTGTATGGGACACTGCTAATTACTACAGAAGTTTCACAAAACCAGAAAGAGAAGGAAGTACGATTCCTACAGAATTTCTCAGTACTTCAGGTGCTCTGTTTGAGATCCAAATTAGATTAACAAAAAGCATGAGTTAACAAAGAAAATGAAGTCTAGTTAGAAGAAGAAGAATGAAAAAAAAGAAATATAACATGATGTCAATTCAAATAGACTGCACAACTGAAAAAAGTAGTCAACTACCCATAAAACTGAACATTTTCACCCTGTTTTACCTGTGTCAGCAACTGCACTAAGAATTTCATATAGCTAATGAATCTATAAGAAGATAGTATTATATTATGCAGGAAACTAGATAATAGAATGAGAATTATGCACTGTATTACAAAAACATAATGCATGAACTTTAATACAACCTAATGTCAACCTGCCATTGGAATTATATTTTCCTTCTAAGGCAGAGTTTTTCACAGCATACAGTAAAGTTTGCCATTCTCAAGTGATATGGTGGACAAATCCATATTTTTTGCATGAAAATTTTGTTGGTGCTCAAATGAGTTTTCATTTTTGTCTTAGAAATTGAATTGAAAATGCATGGAGATTTCCTGTTGAATCTGAGTGGAAAATGGCAAACTGTTCAAAAGCAGACATAAACACAGAATCACAGAAACACCAAGGTTGGAAAAGACCTACAAGATCATCCAGTCTAACCATCCACCTATCACCAACAGTTCTCACTAAACCATATCTCTCAACACAAAATCCAAACATTTCTTGAACACCTCCAGGGTCAGTGACTCCACCACCTCGCTGAGCAGCCCATTCCACTGCCTGACACTCTTTCAGAGAAGTAGTATTTCGCAACGTCCAGCCTAAATCTCCCCTGGCACAGCTTGAACCACATCTAAAGCTTTTGCCAGTTCCTCTTGAGAACAAAGATATTTCCTCTAACATATCAAGCAATAATTCTAAGACAAAATGAGATTTGCTTAAAACTGTTTTCCAATGACATCTAAGAAGGTACATTTCTATGTTGCTAAAGTGCACTTAATGGAGGAAAACTTACTTTGAAGGCAAATTTTTGTTACATAAAAGTTATATAAAATTTTTCAGAGCTCATTTTGTATTTGCCTTCCATCTTAAGATGAAATCCATTTATTTTCCATGATTGAAATCCTCTGCATGTGATATCATACCAGTTATGTTAGAAATAACTAAGTGTTGAAAACAGAGGATTATACTCCAAGCAGGAAAAAAATACTAGGAGCAGATGAGGAATGAAAAGAACAGCTTAGTTTCAATATTCCTGTTATTAAAGCATCCTCTTGTTTTTAAAGAGTATGTGAAATAAAGCAATTCTTTATAATTTGTAAGAGTTTCACAGTGAACATTGGTGCTGCTTTAAGTTTTCAATGTTTTTAAAATGCTGTCAACAATGCTTCTGTGTGTGTTCAAGATTTGTTCCATGCAGCTTAAGGATCTATCTTAAACGCCTTCTCCACTGCTTTCTTCATTTCCCTCCATAAACGCTCTAAAAAATGCAGATGAATCTTTAAAAAAAAAAAAAAAAAAAAAGAGATTTACATATAACAATCCCTATATACTATATTCTTGAATGATTTTTCTTGCTGAAATGGACTATGTTTCTATTCCTTCATATATCTGTGGTTTTGGTTGGGTAAAGTAAAGCTGACATTTATTATAATACATGGATTTTATAAAAATCTCCATGGAATTTCTTGGCAAATAGCATTAGCTATCAGTCCAAAACCTAGCATTACACTATATTAACATCAGCTTTCTTGTATCTGAATATTCTTTTAATTATATAAGCATAAATAAATGGTGTTAGTCCAAAGAGGCTTTCACAGCACAAAGTAAGGTTATAATACACTGCTATTAATCTTGACTACTGCCAATTCAGATTTCTGCACTGTGTCTTCAAAATTGTCACTTCTAACTATTTTACTGGCTCAGAGACTATTGTAGCTGGAAATAAGCATCTATAAACTCTGTGAAAGCAACAACATAGGTGGTATTAGTAAAAAGGCAAAAACTGTTAAAAGTTTACTGACTACACTAATTGTTTCTCAGTAAATGGAACACATCCTATGAAAGTACAAGTGTAGAATATCAATAAATGCTGTTTTGAATTTTAGAAAAAAAAAAAGAAAGAAAAAGAAAACTACTGAGGAAACTACTGTAAAAATAAATAAGACAGATTTTTATTTTTATTTATTTTTGTTTTTCCTGAGAATGAATTCATTTTTGCATATAGGTCAGTAGTATCTGTAATGATATGAAAGTTAAGTGCAGCTGTTTCTGGTACAGGTTCATTCAGTAGGCTATCTGATCTTCATAGATTTTTAAAGTGTTTTATATCAATAAGCTTTATAATTGCTTTTTCCATAGAAAACACACCATATTTTATTAGTGTCCAGGGTTTATCTTGTTGAAGCTTGAGATATAAAAAGAAATGTAGTACATTCGGTAAATTGTCTTCTCATCAGAGATCCTTCCAACTGATATTGAAAAGTGACAGTAAAACTAAATAGCATGGCACTGTTCAGCAGAGTCAAAATACACTTTTAGTTTTTCCAATACTCAGTGTTAAAGATTGATAATATATATGGGTTCTCTTATTAAATAACCAGCATACATACATACACACACACTCTAACTCATGCAATAACATGCAAAGGCCAATATTGCAATATTTGTATTACTATGATAGATCCTCTCCAAAA